GGTGTGCGTGTGGGGGTGTGCGTGTGGGTGTGTGGGTGTGTGTCTGTGTGTGTCTGTGTGTGTGTGTGTGTGTGTGTGTGTGTCTGTGTGTGTGTGTGTGTGTGTGTGTGTCTGTGTGTGTGTGTGTGTGTGTCTGTGTGTGTGTGTGTGTGTGTCTGTGTGTGTGTGTGTCTTTGTGTGTGTGTGTGTCTCTGTGTGTGTGTGTGTGTGTTTGTGTCTGTGTCTGTGTGTGTGTGTGTGGGTCTGTGTGTGTGTGTCTCGGTGTGTGTGTGTGTGTGTGTCTGTGTGTGTGTGCTTGTGCGTGTGTGTGTGTGTGTGTGTGTGTGTGTGTGTGTCTGTGTGTGTGTGTGTCTGTGTGTGTGTGTGTGTCTGTGTGTGTGTGTGTCTCTGTGTGTGTCTGTGTGTGTGTGTGTGTCTGTGTGTGTGTGTCTGTGTGGGTGTCTGTGTGTGTGTGTGTGTGTGTCTGTGCGTGTGTGTCTGTGTGTGTCTGTGTGTGTCTGTGTGTGTCTGTGTGTGTCTGTGTGTGTCTGTGTGTGTCTGTGTGTCTCTGTGTGTGTCTGTGTGTGTCTCTGTGTGTGTCTCTGTGTGTGTCTCTGTGTGTGTCTCTGTGTGTGTCTCTGCGTGTGTCTCTGTGTGTGTCTCTGTGTGTGTCTCTGTGTGTGTCTCTGTGTGTGTCTCTGTGTGTGTCTCTGTGTGTATCTGTGTGTCTGTGTGTCTGTGTGTCTGTGTGTCTGTGTGTCTGTGTGTCTGTGTGTGTGTCTGTGTGTGTGTCTGTGTGTGTGTCTGTGTGTGTGTGTCTGTGTGTGTGTCTGTGTGTGTCTGTGCGTCTCTGTGTGTCTCTGTGTGTCTCTGTGTGTCTCCGTGAGTCTCTGTGTGTGTGTGTGAACCTCCCTAGCACATGGGAGCAGAGGGTCACTCCTTTTGTATTTTGCAATCATTTGATGACGCATGCCATTCTGAAACCACATGATCGTTTGCAGGGGCATTGGGCACTCCTTGGCAAACCCAATGCAAACGAAGCTATGCCATGGAGTGGGAAGCAGTTCAGGATGCTGAACCGTGCACCTGCAAGCTGGGCCCCCTGAGGCAGCAAGATTAGAAAACGCTGGCCGCTGAGGCAGCAAGATCAGTGTTCTTTCAGTTTTCCACATCAGTTGATTGAGCATACAGCCTTTTTTGCACGTTTGCCACAATCTAACAAGCACAAGCAGCACGTGCAACATGCCTCTCTCTCTTCCTTTCTGCATTCGTGCTCTTGGCCGAATCCATCAGTGTGTCTTCGGTCAAATTTGGCTGGAAGGGCCTTGACGTGCACGTTCTGCGCCAACTTCAAGACGCTTTCGACCGACACCCGTCGCCTTTCCTGCACAGAGATCAAAAGTACACATACAATGGTCATTCGGACTCTGGCCTCGGGACTGCTCGCCCAGTTGACCCGTTCCACTGGGATCCAAGTGTCCGCCCAATACATACACTGTGGCATCCGCATCCTGCATCAACAAAGTTGCAATAGCAACACAATACACGGAGTGACAAAGTCGAACCTTCTGGAGTATCGGTTGCAGGCGCGGGTTGCCCAACCCTTCCCTCCTCTTGAACCAGAGATCTGCAGAGAGAATGCTGCACTTTGCTTCCGACGCTACGCTACACTGCGGGCTTGCATGCCATGAGGCAACTCAGGAAGATTGTCTTTCGCCGTCTTCAACAAAGCATTCGTTCGAAATCAAAATCAGAGATCAAGGCAGTTTGCACCCAACTGTCGCAAGCTCTGAGAGCAGAAGCCCTGCACAGGGTTGTCCTAGACTTCACGATCTACGTGCATCCACTTGAGGGCATAGAATGCGGAATGTTTGCCCCATACAGGAGCTGTGCTTAAAGTTTAAGCGCGCACTGTGAGCTGCGGGAAGCAATGTGCCGGGCTCCAGACCTCGCGCGGCGGCCCCGTCTTCGTTTGGTGCTCCAACGCGAAGCGCGTGATGTCGGACCCTGTCTTGACTAGACAGTGAATGGTTGTGTCGATGGTTGTGTCGGGCGGCAGAGTGGTCGTCTAAAGCACTGAAGGACAGAAACGAATCTCCTGTGTTGTCGTGAGGCCGAGAACTTGCCGCCGGTCTTGGCGCGATGCCCAACCCCTGCCTCGTCTTGAACCATAGATCTGCGTGACGATCCAGAGCACGATGTCGTTGGGTTGCCACCGCTCTCTCAGCCGCGGGAAGCCGTATGCGGGGCATAGGGAAGTTGTCGGCCAAGGCGAAACACTCAATAAGTTCCATGCGATGGTACAGTCGTGTTAGTCTGTTACTAGTTACTAGGCATGGGCAATGCGATGTGGTTTCATGACGACGGCCACATTTCTTTAGCTTGTAGCCTTCTGGTCCATGCTTTGATTATCCGCACGCCTTTCGATCATCTTCATCACCACGGTCTTGTTTTGGCGAACCCCTCGACAAGGGAAGAAGCCCAGCCCCACCCACCTCGTCAGTACGAGTATCTGGCCCGAAAAAGACGTGACTCTAGTGCCTCCGCACGTCTGTGAATTTTGGATCGCGTTGGCAAGAAGCATCGGCTAAATGAACAGACTCACATTCGGGATACCCGCATGAAGTGTGTATTCATGAGCCGCTTCTGACCTGCTAGCTGCTAGCAGTCTACCTACGCTCTCGCTTTGTGCAAGCAACTTAACTTCCGCCAGAGCTACCTGCGGGGCGGGGTGGTAAAGCTCTACAGGGGATTGCAGCATATACTTCACCGAACATGCCTTCATCGACAGCTCCTCGTGACATCAGCAAATCGAAAACTCGCTCTGCATTGGCGCACTCTCTCAAAAGGCCGCCAATGGCCGCCATTCTGCGATCGGTTCCTTTCACTCTCACGTCTTGGGATCCCAGCGACAGCTTGAAATCGCACGCTCGCAGGTGATGCTCAGGACACCTTGCAAGCGACCTACTAAAGGTTTGCAGTTTGTAAAGCAACTGATTGCTCTCCAGAGGCTTGACAAACCTGACAAAACTGACACATGCAACGTGTGCGAAATTAAAGTGACATCGAGACGACGCAGTCATCCGCAAGAGCTAGAGAGGACACCGTCCGGCACTCGGCGGGGTCTCCAGCAAGGCCCTTCTGCAGGTAGCTCGGGATGGACCCTTGCTTGGCAAAGTCGGCTGCTGTCCAGTTGCGGAAGTTTCTGATCTCCAAATTGGCGCCGGCCGCAATCAGGGCAGCAGCGGCCTCATATTGACCTGTGCGGAAGGCCTGCATCAGCGGCGTACTGCCATGCATGTGGAAAGCAAAAGCAGTGAAAAGGGAAGCTCTGCCCAGCTTGTGCTGTAAGGACTTCGCTTGGAAGATCAGGCGGCCCACTCGGCTTAGGTCACGCTGAACATTCCACTGAAAGTCGAGATCAGCCCGCAGGCCGACCAGGTGCTGGACCAGCTCAGCAGAACCTCCCCGAAGACCCGCGGCGGCGTGGAGAGCCCGGGACAGCTGCAGCCCATCTGAGCAGCCCTGCGCCACCAGTTCGTTCAGCGCCTTCTGTGCACCATAGCCAGCAGCAATAGCTATAGGCGTGGTGCCAATCAGGTTCGGGGCAAGGGGACTACCACCTGCTGCACACACCATTCGCACACCCTCAGCGCTGTCTGACTGCGCTGCCCAATTCATGGCAGACAAGAATCCACCTTGAACGTGGGCCCTGGCTGTCAGGAGCAGCTTGGCGGCCTCGTGATGCTTGAAGAAGAGTGCCAGGTCCAGTGCCGACATCCAGGGAGGGAAGCCCAGAGCCGGCTCATCCTTCGGCGTGCGCGTGTTCACGTCGACTCTCTTCTCCAACAAACTCGCACAGACCACGGAGTCGCCAGCCAAGGCTGCGTAGTGCAGCGGGGACCATCCGGCCCTGTCGGCTTCGCCAGGCCGCCGGAGACCATTTTGCAGAAAGAAATCGGCCGCGGAGTCCGAGTCCCTGTCGGGCAACAAGACGACAGGCTCGATCTCCAGGCCCCGAAGATGAACGCTCTGGAGGTTGAAGTGGCGCCGGAATGCAGCCAAGTCGCCCGAGTGCAAGCAGTGTCTCAGCTTTTGCTGCACTATGCTTCGCATTACCGGGGCCAACTTTTGGCGGTCTTCCGAGAAGGAAAACTCTCCTTCCCCAACGCATCCACTCCCGAAGGAGATCGCCGTGCCAACCAGTTCCATGGAAGTCTCGCTCTGGATCAAAATCCAGGAACTGTCACGAGACAGCTCACGTGCTGCCCGCTCGACCTACAGGAAATTGCACGAAGCTGAGAGCTACGGTGTCTACCCCACGTCGAAAGTGCATGAGCACAATACACATTGCAGGTGAGTGTGGGCTCTCTGTGAGGGCTTGTCAAGCTGCAGCATCGAAGTGGGTAGGGCCAGAAAGGTCACAAACCAAAATCCGATGGAAAAACCGAAGAGGCCTGCCGCCAATGTAGAGATCAAGTTACCACAATAGGGGTCCATAGTAAATGATATGGTTTCCTCATTTTTTGTAACTCAAAACCCTACAAACGGCATCTTCAGACTTTTGGCCCCCAGGCACACGACACCACCCACGCCGACTCCAGCTGGCAGCTGAAAGCACCTGGCGCATTGCCATGGAACCCTCTAGGCCCTAGGCTTCAGGGGCTTACGCTTCTCGGGGTTTTCGGCTGTAGGATTTCATGGCTCAGGGTCCAGGGGTTTAGGGTTTAGGGCCGTTTAGGAGACATGAAGAACACCATAGAATCCTCAAAGGGCTCCTGGAGACCCTGCCTTGGTTTCCCAGGGGCAGTCGACCACGGGACAAAGAGCCAGGAAAAAGCGGCATCTGGAGACGTAGGCAGGGATGCTGTGGATGGCCCTGGCTTGCTGGGAGCCGTCTCTCTCATCTGTGGCGGCGTAGAACTTCCGGTCTTCTAGTTGCGGCACGGAGAAATAATCGTACCACAGGAACAAAGGCTTGGCCTGAAAGTCCTGCACAGGACCTAACACCCCCTAACACCAAACCCAAATGCCCAAAACAAACCTAAACCAGTGAACCCCGGGAAAGTCCTTCATGGGAAGTGGCTTGGCGTTGGGCACCGACCCTTCCGTCATGATGTCCAGCGGCACGGAGCCACTTTCGGAAGTTAAGAGCCGCTTCAGGGCCTGTTGTAGCATGCGCATCTGCCTGTGAAGATGTCAGGCTGAAGGGTTGGAAAGTGGCTTGACTATGGGTAAAAAGCTTAGGATTTATTAAGGCTCTTAGGTGGAGAATTTAATATGCTAGGTTTCGGGCTTCTTGGTTTTATGCTCAGCTCTGCCTGAGGTCGGGGTCTGGGTGGTGCTTGGCCAACCATTGGTGCGAGACAAATGCTGCCATCCCCACATCGTCATCGAAGATGGTCAGGTCGCCCTGAGCCTTCAGAGGGGTTGAAGGCTTGGGGTGTTCAGGATTTAGGGGGTCCAGGGTGTAATGGATTTGGTCTCCATGTTACAATCAGCACTTCTTAAAATGCAGCCTTGCTCGAACCTGGGGCACCTTTTGAAGACGCCAATCCCGACTGTTGTAGGAGCATCACTGGTTCGAATATCTGTTGCTGGCTGCCATCCTGGATCCGAGTGTTGAGGTGCCAATACATATAAACAACTAATGGCACGACCTCATGAAAATTGCGACTGGAGAAGTGCCCCGTGCTTGCGTGGTTTGCTGTTATCTTCTGGCAGGCACTGCCCCTATCGTGCTTTACAGCGCGTGCTGTGTGGTATTGCTTGTATTTGCTGGGGGCGGAGAAGGCGGAGAAGGTCTGCTTGCGTGGAGAGTTTGCAAGTTCAGGACGCAGGTTGCCCGGGACCTCTCCTTAACATGAAATAGCCATACCCGAAGCCTAACTGAACCCTAAACCCTAATTTTTGGCCCTCTAAACGCTAACGTTTGAAACCTCGCACGCCAGCCTTCAAGAGCTCATGAGGCTCAATCTTGTTCATCTTCAACAGCACATCTGCTGGCACCGTGTACATCGGGAAAGTCATTGCACCAGCCTCGGCCGAGGGGGCAGTTTTTGGATCTACCTTAGAGGCTTTGGATATCCTCCGCATTAGGGTAGCAAGTAGTCTCGGAACTTATGTCCAACATTTGTACGTTCCAAAGATTGGTGATGAAATATATGTATCTGGCCAAATGAACTAACACACAATGTGCTGCTCGGTGACGTCCGCGTCGTCCGGTAATGCTTTCGCATACAGCTCCAGCGGCGTCGGGAAGCGGGACCGCCCGCAAATGCACGGCATTGCATTACTAAACTTTAAATCAATGGAGCAAAGATACGGAGCTTGCGTGCGTTTACATGGATCTCGGGACTTTTGCTCCCACCGCTGTCGTTGCGAGAAGGGTTGGACAAGAATTGGCCGCTGGCCGGCCAGAAAAAGGGCTGCTCCTTAAGAGAATCCCTTCTTGAGCAGGCAATCCCCAGCATAGCTCACAGGCAACCAAGCCGTCCGCAAGTCCAACCCAACAACTGATCTAGGCTTCGTGCACATGGCCACGGCGAATTTTGGGCCCACACATGCGATGGAAAACCCAGCAGGACTGGCTGCGTGTCAACAAACCACAAAATGCCAAAAGCGAACACTACACAGAAGACCAAAGAAAAGGTATCAGCAAAAACAACAGAACGCATGGACGTCTACAACATGATGTATGGCGAATTGATTTTTCATTGATACATAATTCTTTTCATTTGTTATCATGAAAACGCTGATGATGTGCTAGGATCTTCATTTAGCGTTCGCAAAAAAATTGTTTCTGGATCACCAATTTTTGCAGGCCGCGACAAGGTTCACTTTTTCATGGACATTCCAAACGGAACTCCTGTTGATTGCGCCTGACACCCGGCGGTACATCTCATCATGGGAAATGTGCAATGCACAAAACTTGCTCAATTGAAAGCACCGGCAAACAGACGACATGGAAAAATGAGGAGGTCATGACCATGCCGGGCCTTCGCAACAAAATCCCAATTGTTTGATACTGAGCGCCACAAGGATACAATTTAGCACAACATGCAATTCTTCCGCAATAGCGTGCTGTTTTGACGTTCTCCCCTCGAAACGCATGTCCACACCTGATTGGATGGGCTGTCCCCGCTCGCTGGCTTCTGGCTCTAAGAATCTCGGATCCGACAAAAAGTGTGACGAAAACAAAAGCTGTGCTTGCAAGTACCCCGAAGATACAGATGTGGCGGCGACAAGGTCCAAAGCGTCTTGGGAACACGTGATGCAAAAACCGGAGCAGACCACTTAACCCTTGGTCACAATGCACAGGCGTTCCAACGGAGTATCGAAGCAAAACGAGGCAACTGATCCAACCAAGCCGAAGCAACTGCAAGGGCAGGGCAAAGCGTCGCAAGATCGGTATAGAACTTAAAGCCGTTAGTCTGACGACACAGCAAAGCACAACGCGAAGCAACCCTCTTGCTACGCGATGCTATCTGCACGGTACTCCGAAGAGAAAAAGTCTTGAGCAGTCAAGCTGCGAATGAAACAAAGTTGGCATGAATCCTATCAAAACCACGAGGTATACGTAACAAATCACACTGCATGTACAGCCACATCTCTTTGCAGCTGTATCAAATCTTAAAGCAAAGAGACCATAAACGTGGGCCGCTTATTGTTTTAGGTAGGCCTGCACTGCTCTAGCACTTCAGCTCTCTTTTTACCGTGTTGGATCTGTAGGCATACCGGCTAGCCGAAGGCTGACAGATGCTGCAGGGCAGAATCTGTCTGAAAGGAAAACACCCCCTCAGCTAGACTTTGTGAGAAGACGAGTGAAAAAGGCGTGCAGTCGTCTAGATTAAAGGCTTGGCTGAGGCGGCCTGGAGGCGTGACGAAAACTAGCTAAAAGGCGAAGACAGTGCTTTTGACCCCATCGGCGAGAGTCAGTGAGACACCCAAGGCCGAGGCGGCGGGCGTGTAGGGCGGTCGAGGCGACCCCCTGGCGTGCAACCAGGAAGGTAGCGGTGAGAACTCAGGTGGGCGAGTCAGTAGTCGTCAAAGGCGGAGGCACCTGAGCGAGCGGGGTTAGGGCCGGGAAACCGAAAGGGTTCAGGCCATGGCAGCTAGCGGCTCGTCCGCGTTGAGAAGAAACCTGGTCGAGTGCAGGGCAAGCGGGGGCTAGGGCGTGGGAGGGCAAGACAGGCAGACCTGTGGCTGAATGAAGGACCTGAGGCAGCGTCCAAATGATTGACTTGTGCAATCGAGCAAAAGTTCTCATTGTCGGGAAGGCTTTGCAAACCGACAGCTGAGGTCCTGAAGGCGTGTCTGTAGGACAGAAGGCTGAAGTACCTGGCCAGGTGACATCTTTAAGGCGTGGGCGGGCGGGGCTTTTCGAGAACTGCAAGTGCTAGAGCCCGGCTACACGTAGGCATGTAGGCATGTCAAGCGTGTAGAGATTCGCAAGCTCCGAAAACATTCCTGAAACAAAACAAGTAACGTTTTAGGTAGGCTTGCACTGCTCTAGCACTTCAGCTCTCTTTAGCACCGGAAAGCCCGGTGCCCACGACACCTACCTCGACCTCCCAGGTATCCAGCCTTGACTCTGACTTGCCTGGCCTCAGGTATCGAAACCCCCCGCCTTGGAAGCCTTTTCAGGTCCCTCTGCTTTGGCTCATGCAGCCGCCTTTGCAACCAAAGGTTTCCTTCTAAAGGCATGCGCGAGCCCTTTCTTGGCTGGAGCCTTGAGGGCATTCTTTTTGGGGCAGTCCCCTGTGCCTACATTTTGTTTTTTGCCGACATAAGTCGCGATGTTGCATCTCTTTGTCGCCTCGACAAAGCTTGCCATGATTACATTGCCGAGCGAATCACTAAGGACCGCCGTTAGCCCTGCAATGGACACCTTAGCCTCCGGCCCTCAGCTAGCTGTGTCGCCAGCCCGACCCTCGGGCCTTACGCCCGCATTGCCCGCAGGCATCTTCACCTGCAGGGCCGCTGCAGCCTCAGCCAGCCTTTGCCTTCCAGAACTGCTGTGCTGAGCCCCTTTCTGGAACTTGCCCTCTTGTTGCGATCAGCCCCTCCAGGTTTCTTCGAGCCCAAGCCCTCGCCTCAGACTCCCAAGCCGGTTAGAGCCTGCGCCAAAATGATGGTTAGAGCTGGTCTCCTGTGTCCTTCTTGTTTCCCGGCCGAGCCTTCATTAGCCCTTCTTCCATAGGAAACCAGCCGGACTCTGCCGAGTTCTCAGGTTCCTGACGGTTTCTCAGATCGCCTTTCCGGGGTATGTCGTGGCCCTGACTGCTGCTCTGACAGGGTTCGGTCCTGACGTCATTCTGCACAGTTCTCGGCTTAAGCAATATGGGCCCGAATCAGCAGCCTCGGCGCCAAGATCAGCGCGCACAGCGCAGCCCATGGCCTTCTTATGCCTCTAGCCCTGCCCCCCAGTGGAACCAGGGCCAGCCTACAGCCAATGTTTCGAACCTTTCATTGTTGCTAAGCTGCTAAGCTCGGAAAAATCCAAAAACCTCCAGTCGCATACTTGTTAAAGAACGTGCTTCACTACGGTTTCCTACTCTCAAACTGAAGCGGTCACTTTTCCCGTTACGGTCGCTGTGTCCGCTGGGTCTCGAGCCTGCACGCCACGGGCGTGAGTCCGGCTGTTCCTGTACATTAACTACACTGCACTAGCAGTGTTACTGTTCCTGGCAGAATGTTTAACACCCCGCCTTCGGAGTTAGCGAAAGTTCCTCGACTGAGGTGACTCCGACTTTTCCTCGGCAAACAGTAAACACGTGCAGTTCCTTTTCACTACAAAACAAACGCTGTTCCTCCTCGCAAACGTTGCCGTTCACTCGCAATCCTCTCCAAGGTTGCTAGACTGTACAAAAGTGTTCCTGCACTTACTCAACTTAGATCACCACAGAAACAAAAAGGGCTGTGCCACGGTTCCTGTGTCGCTGCTCACTGTCCTTCCTCTGGCTCTCTGGCCTCACTGGAAGCTCGCTTTTCCTTTGTCCTTTTCTTCTTCCTCTTCTTCTTCGTCCTCGACCACCACGACGCCGGGGTCCTTTGGGTCTTCCTTTAGCTTTCCTTTGTTTTCCTTGAGGTACTCACTGAGCTGCTTTGCTTGTGCCTCGCACTTCTCTCTTCCTTTGGCGTCCTTACTTCCTGCTACCCAGCCACCAGCTTTTGTTCCTGAGTGCCAGTACCATCTTTTGCTTTCCTCGCTCCACTTCCACTGGTACCTGCGGTTCTGGAAGCTGTAGACTGCAAACCAGTTTCCTTCAAACTCTCCACGGCCTTTTCCTTTCTGGAACGATCCTTCATTGACCGGTCCCTTGCCGGAAAGTTCCTTGTCCTCCTTTGCTTCCTGCTCCTGTTCCTGCTCCTTTGCTGGTGTTGTGTCTGGTTCCGTGGGTGCCTGTGACCCGGCTGCCGATCCTCTGCTTTCAAGTTCCTGCGTAAGGCTCGCAATCCTCTCCTTATCCTCCTTACGTTCCTCCATCATTTCCTCCATCATCTGTTCCAGCTTTCTGATCCTGTCTCCTTCTTCACTTCTCTTTTCCACTTCTCCTGATCCTGTTCCTGCTGCTGCTGCCTTCTTTTCTGCTTCCTTCTTTGCGATGTACGCTGATGACTGCTTTTGGTCATGCTCTCTCTCTTCTTCCTTGATTCCTTCTCCTTTCTCTTCTTCTCCTCTTCCTTCTTCTCCTTCTCTGCCTTGGCTGCTGCTGCTGCTGCTGCTGCTGCTGCTGCTGCTGCTGCTTCCTTCTCTTTCTTTTCCTTCTCTGCTTCAGCTGCGGCTGCGGCTTCTTCCTCTTCTCGCCTTCTCTGGGCGGCTGCTGCTGTTCAGGACAGTTCTACACCACGCAACACCAAAAGGCTACGAGGCTACTGCGAAGCTACAAAGCGGAAGCAAAAGTCGACAGTGGCTTCACTCGCACTTCTCTCCTTTTCGGCTTGCCGGAGTACGACTGCTCTGCAGGTTGAAAGCTGCTCTGTGAAAGTTCCGGGGTCTTTGACCTTCCGGATCGAAAGCTGAAGCAGCGGAGCAGTCGAAAAGCCCGTATCGTTAAGCATTGATAGGTAGAAGAACAGCAAAGTGTACAAAAGCCAGCAGGAAAGCGAAAAGCTGGACTGTATGTGATAGCGGGCTGCGACGTAAAAGCTCCCTGTGCTGAAAGCAAGCCCCCAAAAGGTGTGGGCGGGCGGGAAAGTTTTAGAAAGCAAGCTGCTGTTGCGTGGTGTATGCTTGAACCCAAGCGGGGCAGCGGGGTAAGAACTGCCGAAACAACCCTGAGTAAACACAGGAACCGTTCAGGACAGTTCTACACCACGCAACACCAAAAGGCTACGAGGCTACTGCGAAGCTACAAAGCGGAAGCAAAAGTCGACAGTGGCTTCACTCGCACTTCTCTCCTTTTCGGCTTGCCGGAGTACGACTGCTCTGCAGGTTGAAAGCTGCTCTGTGAAAGTTCCGGGGTCTTTGACCTTCCGGATCGAAAGCTGAAGCAGCGGAGCAGTCGAAAAGCCCAAGCAAGAAACTGGCAAGCCGAAACCTCGCAAGACGCTCTAGAAGCCAAGTGGAGAAGTGAGGTGAGGAAGCTTCAAAGCACAGCTACTTGCGCTTATTGGAGCCTCGGTTTGTCGGGCCCAATCTGGTGGCTGATGGAAGCTGCCACTTCAAAAAGGTATCAGCTGGAAAGAGTGTCACTTGAAAGCGGATCTGCCAGAACTCAGAGAGGTAAAGCTCAATGCGGTTTGATGGCAGAAACTTGGCCGGAAGTTCTGCGCAGCCGTCCCACCGCGAAAGCAGGTCTGCATCGTCGTTCTTTTCGCCAGCAATGTGGCTGCAGTCCAAAGTGACACCGGTAATGGAGCTCCACATCGAAAGCTTGCGAACGAAAAGATTAAGTGGTACTTTGGAGGTGTAAAGTTTGTTACACACCGATTCAGCGCCACTATTATCGCTCAAAGCTGGTAATTTCAAAGCCAAGCGGCCAGAACCATGGGCTTTCCAGAAAGCGAGAAGAACGTAGCACTGTGCCAACGTCTCATAGCTGGAAATGTCCAAGTTGGCGTCAGGCTGCATTGGCAGACCGAGCTCCAGGAAGTCCTGCACGGTGTAGCGATGCGAAAACCAAAGCAGGCGGCCACATGGGAGAAGGAGCCATCCCCCGACGCCGCAGTCGTTGCCTTTGCCGAAGGCATCGGCTGCTGATTCCACTGAGCTCATGGGTGGTGGTCTAAGCGGCCGTGGACGCCAGTCCCTGGAGCTCAAGTGGGCAAAGAAAGAAAGTGTTTCTCTGCTGGATTCTGAGAGGCGTCGCTTGGATGAAGTGGGGTCCGTAACCCGAAGCCACATGCGTTTGGTGCTTACCGGGACCAAAGCGAGATCAGCCTTGCTGTGCAATGTTTTGTGGCGAGCTGACAACAAAGTGGACCCTTCTGAAATGCTGGTGCCCGGCGGTTTACCAGTGAAGCGGAGCTTGTCGTCCAAGTATGTATGAATACCTGGCCAAAGGCATGGGCTGATGCTTACGTTCGTCCCAAGTGGTCTATGCATGTCATCGTAAAGTGTGCACAACCAGGGTCGTAAAGCAGGAAGCCCATGCAGAATCCACTGGAGGAGACCGAGAAGTTTGTCAAGCTGTTTGCGGCTGACAAGTCGGTGCCGAAGGCATTCCTCCACCTGGGAAAGCAGCTTCAAGCGTTTGGCGTCGGGAAGAGTGTAACAGCCGGCATGGAAATCTAACTGCCACCCTATCCAAGTTATAGAAGGGCCCATCTGTAGTTTGCGCCAGCTAAGCGGTATATTGAAGCAGGAGCAGAAAGCCAAACCAGGGAAGCGCTGAGGGGTAGTGCGCGAGCGTTTTGCCAAAGAAGCAAATCATCTACGTATAACATGAGGACATGGGCTATCCAAATAAGTAGATGTAAGCAGCGCACAAAGAAGCCTCCCAAGCGGGCAAACCAGTGGCTTGAAAAAGTGGCCCCGAAGGGACAGACACGGTAAAAGAAGAGGCGGTCCTGCTGTCTGAGGCCAAGCAGACCTCTGTCTTGCTCCCGCACAAGTGATGTTTTGTGCGCTCCCTTAACATCTAAGCTGAAGCCGGAAGCGGGCTCCTCATCCTCGCGCTGCGGGAAAGCGGCCTGTATATCCTGGAGGCAGGGTAGGGAGAACTGTTCTGGTACATCGCAGTTCTGGTTGGTGTTGCAGATGCTGTTGTCGATGACCAAGCGGGGAGCGCGGCCTGGAGCTTTAACGATGTTGACTTTACCAACTGCAACACGATCTTTGCCCCACCTTTCGTAAGCGGCCTCCAGACTGTCCATTTCTTCGATGTAGCCGGAGGACACCTCTTCTTCAATAAGCTCCTGAAGCAGGGCAGGATCCGCCTCGGCTCCTTGCCAGTTGCCTTCGCAGATAAGTAGATCTGCGGAGCTTTCCGTTTCCTCTGCACTGCGGGGACGTAGGGTGTGGCTGCGAGGGATATCCCCATCAAAGCCCGTGGGGACCCCCTTCTGCAAAGCGGGAAATAAAGTTGTGTCTTTGTCCCCCAAGAGGGTGCTCAAGCGCTCAAGTGCCGATAGGCAGTATGGTTGACCCTCCTTGACAGAAAAATCCCAATCCTGAGCTGGGGAGTGAGCATCCGAAAAACGTTTAAAGGATCCACGCAGCCACGATGTTTCCTCTTCCGAGAAAAGTGGGCTGTTACTGCCTGCTGCGACATGTTGCTGAAGGCGAAGTGGTATCCTGTGCGAGAGGAGCCAGGACTGCCATTCTTTGCGCAAATCGTGCAAGCTGTCAGACTGGTATCTGGGGCCCATTGACCAGTCCGGCAAGGAGTAGATGCCACCTCCATCCTGTGATGCTGTAGGTGTCGCTGCCCGGGGCTTCTTGGGGATCGAAGAGAGTGCGAAAGCCAAAGAACAAGTTGGAACACTGTGGGAGGGCCGGCGTGACGAGAAAAGTTTAGCCGCCTGCTGAGCAAAGCGGTTTGCTAACTGGGCTGGGTACTCTGCGGTGCGCTGTGACAAAAAGTTGCCAAGCTCGTCCCTGACGCCGGCCACAGAAGGATGACCCTCCGAATGAGAGCATGTACCTGCCAAGGCTCGCATATCATCGAAGCTGCATGCTAAAAGCCAAGATTTGGCTATGTTCTGGCCAACTGAGCACGCCGGGATGTTGACCAGTGAAGCCTGTATCTCAGCAAGCATGTCCTGTACGAATGGTTCAAGCCAAGACATCGCGTTCGTGGGCTGTTCCAGAGATACATGTGCACCTGAGTTGAAAGCGGCCCGAAGCAGGCATACACAGCGATACAGAAGCTTCTGGCTGCTTACCACACGTTCCTGCTGTGAAGCTGTATTGCCCGGCAACCCGTTGAGATGTTCCGGGGATCGGATAGCAGCAGGTCCCCCGGGGCGTAGCTTCAAGCGGGAGTACTCTTTGCATGGCGGAGATCCATGAGCAAAACGTACAATGCCTGAGAAGCATAACCGAAGGAGGTGATCGTACGTGTCGTCGTGCAAGAGGTCCAGCTGCTCCTCACCAAGCAGATCAATGGGCAAACATATGATGCCACATGATGAGATCGCCGTGGTAAGTGGGTGAGAGGCACCACAGCAGATATCTAAGAAGATCTCGACGTGCGTGTTGTCCTTCGGTGCAGAGGGTACAGCCTGAGGAAGTGTTGTAGGTACTGGAGGCAATGGGAACCCCAGTGACCTTAAATGTGCCAGCGACTTCGTGTCGAAGCTGTGTAGGTTCCTGCAAGTGTAGGCAGTCAATACCCACCTGTCTCCTTGGATTGGCATCGTACAATGGAGTGATTCACAGCTAAAGGAAAGCGGTGAATGCCAGGTGTCGCGCAATTCACCTTTGCTTGCATCTTCCGCTCTGTAGGCCTCGGATGAGGCCTCCAATGGGGCCGGGATGTTGGCAGCAGAAGGGTCCAAAGCTGGGCTAATCCAGATCTCACCTCCGCTGAAATTGCCGAGTGAAACTGTGTGATTGAGTGTTCCTGAAGCGTTGCCAGCATCCGTGTGTAAGCGAGTACGAACGTTGTGACTCACGCACAAGGAGCTCCAAGAGGCACCCGGGAACTGAAGCTGCATGAAAGCGTTCAAGAAACGAAGTACATCGGAAAATTGTTCAGTGCGCTGAAATATCCCCGACCTGGTGCCGTTATCAAAGGAGAAAGCTCCCAGGTTGAAATATGCTCCGGAAGCGTCAATGGCATTGTCGGTGGGGCCTGCGGCATCAATGAAGGGAATGGAAAAGTACTGCGCTAAAAGCTCCAAGCAGGTAGCGAAGTCGAGGGAGCCTTCACTGATTGCCAAAGATGCACTGGATACTGGGGCACCAGCCTTGGGCAGTGCCGAGGTTGCCCCTGCTGAACCTGAAGGTTGAGCAGGCACTGAAAGCGGGACAACTGTGACCTCCTCAGCGATGTCCCGCTGGTCGCTGAAGTGGGTTTCCTAGTGCGGGGTAGCCACATGCTGAGAAGCTGGGTGATTACCCCCGCAAGCGGTGCCGTCATTCTTGGGCACTGCGCATCTGTGCACATAGCGGCACGTGGCTGGGTCCTTGCACTGACCGCTCTGGTAGCGCATGCAAAGAGTCTGGCGCTTGCCATCCATGAAGATGGTTGAAAGCCATTTTCCGGGAGGCGTCGCCTGCTTGTTGTCCTTGCCTTTGCCACCTTTCCCGCCTCGCTCGAAGCGCTCTCCCTTCTCGCCTTTGCCATCGCGGCCTTTGCCGCCACGGCCCCCGCCTTTGCCTCCACGACCGTTGCCTTTGGCGCCGGCCTTCCAGCTGTTGTCCGGGTCGTGCTTGGGTTTGGGTATGAATGGCCTGGGCGCAAGTAAGCTGTGCAAATCAGAGCGCACCTCCGCCACTTCGTGAAGCGCATCATCTAGCTTCCAATGATGCACATTGACTAAGTCGGCGATGATTTCCCAACATCGGCGATCAGCTGCCTGGGCTTCCATCGTAGTGGGGCCCCGTAGGTTGGCGGAGGCCTCGTATTTGGTGAAGCAAATGCGGGTGAACTTTTTGTTGTAGAGTTTCAGGGAGCCTAGGTGTGCCCCCTGGCATCAAGCGATCGCATTCGCAGCAAGTGAGAGAAGCTGTGTCACGAAGCTGAAGGAAGCGGGGCCTTCATGTATATCCCGGGTCGGAGCCTCGTCGAAGAAGAACTCCGCGAGGTCAAAGCGGGCCTGTTTCTTGGGCCTGATAAGCAGGCTGTCTTCTTGCGCCCTTGCACTTAAGCGGTACTTCCAGGGAATCCATCGCACTTCCTTTTCTGAAAGCATCTTATTGGTAAGGGCCAACAAGCGGGCGCTCGGAAAGCTCTCGGCATCGAGGAGTTCAGTGGGGTAATCCTCCTCGAACCTTTTCCTAAGCGCTGCGGTGCGTTCGCCGCTGAGTTTTGCAGGCCAAGCCTCCTGCCATGAGCTAGAAAGCGGGACTGCGGCCGGAGCGGTTGGCACAGCTGTTGAAGGCGCTTCTCCAAGCGGGAGAGCAGCACTGGGCGTGGCTTCTAAGGATGCCATGCCTTCCGACTGCCGGCATTTGAAGAAAAGCAGGCGCAACGACGCTTTAGTGATAAAGCGTTCCGCTGCTTCTGTCACCGCGGCTTCGGTCATAAAGTGGGTGATCAATTCTTCTAGCTCGGAAGAAGTTGTGCAAGCACGTGCGTACAAAGCGGTGTCAAACGCCGAAAGCAGAGAGGCCACCGCAAGAGGTACGTTGCAGTCCGACACGAGCTGCGAGAAGTCGGACATGTCGAAGAGACCTGAGCGGGATGAATGGCTGATGTAAAGCGGGATGTGAAGAACTCTGAGGCGTGGGCCTCGGAGATGATCGTCCTGCGAGGCACACAACAAAAGTTAGAGGCTTCGAATGTGTACCTGTGGCCTGTCGCGAGGCAGCGAGAGAGCCCCCGAGCGGGAGAGAGCTGTGCTTGACCCAAGCGGGGGGGACAAGTAATGTCATGTTTCTGAGCGAATCAAAAGCGGAGGCACACTTCGATGCAATTGTCAGAGCTTGCCGCCTATTTTCCAAGCGGGAAGCGGTGCTCGAGATGACTGGCTTACGAAAGCCGAGCTCCAGCGGGCTCACAAGCCCAGCGGGGTCGCCCGTGTACAAATTGGGTCGACCCAAAAGCGGGCGATTCAGTGCCGAAGTTTAAAAAGTGGGGGGCAGCGTGGATTGCACTGATGCTGCCATGCCCGTCCAGACCAGTTCCAGGAGCTCCAAGCGGGCGAGTCCTCCCAAGCGGTCTGGCTCTGGCCCCACTCATCTTGGCCGTGGTTCCACTGCGAAGTGGCCTCCTGGCGCTCACGCCCACGAGCGCGTTTGCAGTCTCTGCATAAGTGGTTCACGTGGAAGCTGTTGGATCTGTCGCTGAATGTCGCCTGACAGTGTCCCTGAGCGCATTGGGAACACTGGCGGCGGCATGCCCACAATTGAACCAGCTGCAAAGTGGCCCGGCCTTCGCTATCATAGATAGTCGTCCCAAGCGGGAGGCTGGGGCATCACTAGCGAGAAGCGGGGCTATCTCGCGCTGTGGTGTTGAAGCGGGCGGCTGTTGCCCTGTGTTTCCCGAGCTTCCGCCCGTGGTGCCCTCCTCCACAAGCGGCGGTGGCGGGGCCTTGGAAGCGGGAGGGGCGCTGGGCGTAGCCGCCGGGGGTGTAGTGGCCACCGAAGCGGGTGGAGCGGGCGTAGCCATGCTCTTCGACTTCAGCAGCGGTACCCCGGCCTTTGGGGTGGTCGACGCCAAAGCGGGCGACGAAGGAGGTCGCGGCGGCGGTTCCTTGACCTCGGGTTCACGTTGCCAGCGTTTGGCGTTCGTGACCCCGTCACCCGTGGCCTCGGCGTTGGCCTCGTCTCCCTGAGCAGCTGAAGTGGCTCCCGTGGGGGCGCTCTCGCCACCGGTGGCTGCTTTAGGCTCCGCTCGTGCCTCCAAAGTGGGTGCAGCAGGCGAGGGAGAAGACGTAAAAGCGGCCGGTGTCCCGTAATCTTCGGCAGCGATAGAGTCCCCGATGGGGTCGATCACGGTGCTCGAAGCGAAGGTGCTGCTGCCAAAGCGGGTGCCGGCGTTGTGGAAGGAAGAAGCGGGTCTCCTTCCATTCGCTTCAAAAAGTGGCCCTCTCAGCCTCGTTCATGCTTTTGAGGAGGCTGAACACGTAGTCGGGGGACAACTTGGCCATGACCCACGCTGGAAGTAAAGCGGGATTATGTTTCATAAGCTGATCTCGAGCAAGAGCTTATGGAATAACATGTCACAAGCGCGAAAAACAGGCTGTAGCACAAATTCATGACCCAGAGGTGCAAGATGTATCGCTGTATTTCTCGGGAGACGCTCAAGCTACCTCCAAAGATGCTATGATGCATGCCCGCCGCTTACATAAGCGAGATTCAGGCGGCAAATGCGCAAAAGCGGAAAATTCTGAGATGCATCCACAAGCGGGGTGACATCGAACCTGGCATTGGGCATCCTTGCACGCCAAGCAGGTCATGCGGGAGCCGGGGTGGGAAATGCTGAAGTGTGCCACTCCGGATGCTCCTAGCAGATACCGCACCTCCCTGCAGTTTGTGCGGGAAGTTTGAAAAGATGGAGCTTCAAGCGGCTGCTCCTCATGTGACACACTAAGCCCCTCGCTCGTTTCATCTTGCCATGTGGGGTCGACCTCCAAAGTGGATGCGACCATCGCTGAAGGGCGAGCCGGGCCTGCATCATCGGCATCTGAGTCCTCGAAGTGGTCGACCTGCGCCCGGGCGCGAACACAAGAGGGAAGTTTGGGGCCTGACCGTGTAATCGTTGAGCATGACTCTCGGGCTTCGCGAAGTTCGCCGTCCTGTTGTTCCAGGGCAAGGAATGATTGGAAATCACTGCCAAGCGAGAAACATGTAAGGTCCGGGATGAAGGCGTCCCATTGGAACCCCGCCGTCTCGAAGGGGGGCTCGGCAAGCGGTGATTGTCCACCTCGGTGTTGCGGCCTGGCAGGACGGAAGCCGGAGTGGATCGACCGCCACAAAAGAAGCTGCGTTCTCAGGGCTGGCCATACGTCGTCCCGTGAATAAAGCTGGGCCGAGCCAGGGGTTTTATGATGTCCCTGTAGAAAGCGGGACGCCAGTGGGATAGAAAGCTGAGACATCCACGAAAGGAAGGTCGTCTTCAAGCTGTGAAGCGTATATTGAGAAGCTTGGTGCTTCTCTATCCCTGAAAGCGTCAGCCAGTGGCGCAACTTCTGAAGGGCCTGTGAATAGGTGGCCGGAGCAAAGCCTGCATCACTTAAGAGGAAAAACATGCAATCTGGTTCCGGCTGGGCCCCAAAGCGGGAGCGGAGGTCGGACCAAACCTTGTCCAATGCTCCCAACCAGCGGGGGAGCCAAGTCAGCCCCCATTCCTCAGCGGACGAAAAGGGGCCGAAGCTGAGAAGACCAAAGGGGCATCCGCCTTTGGTGGTCTTGGTTCTGTAGCATATTCCCCGTAAAGTGAAATGGCTCACACAAAGTGAGCTCCAGCGGACGTGCTGGGCGTCCGCGAAGCGGAGGCTCGCACCGATTGCCACCAAGAACGACCCCGCCCAGATGGTGTCCATCAAGCTGGCTGTGCCTGAAAGCAGGGTGCGCTCAAGGAAGGCCACAAAAGAAAGCGGCAGTGGTATGCTCTCTCGTTTCTCCTGGCCAGACGGATTGGAGAGGAGACTGAAAGCTGTGCCGTACAGGTCTGGGAGGCATGCAAGTGAAAGAAGCTTCTTGTACCAGCGCAGCGCCTTGAGCACATTGATGCTGTTGGAAAGGGGGCCTGGTTCGGAGCCTCGAGATAAAGCGAAGAAAGCATCAAGGAAGAGACCTTGGTCGATGGACTCCATGTTGCCACCCAGCTCCTCAAAGGCACAAAAGAAAAGCTGGACTGAGCGAAGGTAGCGGGCCGCCGTGGTGTCACTCACCTTGCTGAGCAGCCGAGACTTGATCACTGCGCCCTCGCGACTCCCTGAAAGCTGTTGCAGCACCTCGCTGTAGGCACCATGCGATGCACAAAGCTGGTCGAAAAGTACCTTGTTGCGTTCATCGCACGCCTGATGATTATCCTTGCTGGTGACCAAGCCGGCGATCGGCTCACGAAAGGCAGGCGGGTGTAACTCTGAAGGTGCTCGCAAAGCTGTTGTTGAGGGCTGAACTGGTCTCGGCGTTGCCAGGGAAAGCGATACCTGAACAGGAGAAGGCTGCTGCATGGGGTAGACCGCATAAGCCGAGGCGTCCTGAAAGTGCGGCAGTGCCTTCGCCGTCGGGAAGAACTGGGATGTAGACTGCTGCACAGGCACGGCTTTAGGGGCTTGCCGCGGAGTGGGGAAGGGAGCGCAGGGGCGGAGCCGAGCAACTGTGGGCTGGCGCCCGTTGTGCCCCACCTGAAAAGGGGAATTGTATCGCAAGCACACCCTGGGAGCCCGCCAAGTGGGTGCCTTCGGAGTAGCAGGCAAGCTGGGTCTAGGAGGGGTGGATTGCAATGGCATAAGCAGAAATGTCGAAGTTTCTGAAGGCCACCCATGAAAGGATGCATTCTCGGGCACCGGCTGGTTCTGCTCTATAAGCTGCCAGGATTGATCACCGCTGGATGCACCTGGGCTGTTTTCCATAGGTAGGGGAGGAGTCACCGGGGCACAATGTGCTTGGTGAAGCCAGCGGCGTCGAAGCTTACTCCTGGGTTCAAAAGCTTCCTCTGCATCTGAGTCAGCAACCTCGAAAGTGGGTGCTGGAGCTGGAGGCTGTGGATTAGGGTCTGTTGGATCTGCAAAATCAGCAAAGTGGTTGCGAAAGGACGCCCTAAGCTCCAAAGCTTCATCAGCAGAACAGAATGGTGAGGAGTCAGCCAAGAGTATATCCGTAGCCACCCTGCTGGAAGGCAAAGCTGGCGCATCACCACCAAAAGCTTCCGAAACGTCCATGGTCAAAACCAGATCCTAAGTCTTGCCACTGTCTCCGAAAGCGTCTCTCGAAGCAGGGTCGCGAGCGACCTGACCTTGATGGCAAGCTTCTGAGTGGCTTCCTCCAAAGCGGTGGTCCTGTCAGCGAGAAGAACCAACCAGCCACGCCCTTGCCCTAGCTCGTCCTCTAAGCGATGCAGACGAGTGTGCAAGCGGGCGATCTCCGTCCGCTGGGCCGCTGATTCGGCCTCCAAATCGTACAGCCTGTCACAGAGGGCCCTGACGTCGTCGGTCAGGTTGGCTTCGACCAAGCGGATGTCGAATTGCCGCACTTCCCTGTTAAGATCTTGCAGGACTGCACGGAGTTGTGGGCTATAGGGCGCAGGCGCGTCTTCCATGCAAAGCAGAGGCTGAAGCTATTGCACTTAAAGCTGCTGAAAAGTAGTCCTGACAGCTCAAAGAATAAGCTAGAAGCAGATGAGAAAGCAGAAAGCTGAGCTAAAGTTTTAGAAAGCAAGCTGCTGTTGCGTGGTGTATGCTTGAACCCAAGCGGGGCAGCGGGGTAAGAACTGCCGAAACAACCCTGAGTAAACACAGGAACCGCTGCTTCCTTGTCTCTCCTTTCTTGTTCTGCTGCAGCTTCCTTTAAGATCCTTCTTGCTTTGGCGATCTGCTCCTCTGTTGCCTTCTTCTCCTCTGCTGCTGTCGCGTTTGCCTTCTTTTGTTCCTCTGAGATCCTGTCCTGTTCTTCCCAGTACTTGCGGTCTTCTTCATCTCGTGGTTGAAATCCTGGGTCCTCTGCTTTTGGCTTTCCTCTGCCTTTGCCTTCTCTTCCTCTTCCTTTCTTGTCCTTTCCTTTTGTTCCTTTCTGGTGTTTGTACTTGTGGTCCGTGTCCAGCCAGATCTTTTCTCCTGTGACTCTGTGCTGCTTGTAGATCTCGCCGTTCTCGGTGTATTCTTTCCACCCGCTGCCGTAGTCGTAGGGGTACGCCTCTTCCTTCTTCTTCTCCTTTGCCTTTTCCTTGCTCCTGGCGTTGATCTCTCTACTCTGCCTTTTCCTTTCCTCTTCCTTCGCTTCCTCGTCTTCCTCTTCTTCCTTCTCTCCTTCTTCTTCTGCTCCTTCTGCTTTTGCTTCTTCTGCTTCTGCTTCCGCTCCTTCTGCTTCTGCTTCTGCTTCTTCTTCTTCTGCTTCCTCTTCTTCCTCTGCTTCCTCTTCTTCCTTTTCTCCTTCTTCCTGTTCCTTGCAGGTGACGTAGCTCTCGACTCTCGAAGTAGGTCCCAAACCGTGTCCTCTGTACCTGAGTTCTGCTTCTTCGCGTCGGTCTCGGGCGTCTCTTTCCTTCTCTTCCTCGGTTGCTTCTCTTCCTTCTGGCGTGGTCTGGTAGTAGACATCGGTCATCAGTTCCTGGACTTGTTCCTTGAGCTGGTCGCAAGTTTCGTAGACATACCTCATCTGGTCCTGAGCATCACTTCTCTGCCACGGTTCACTGGCTCTGTAAAGTCTAGGTCGCGCAATGGCAAACATGAGAATTGGCCCTGCCGCTCGAAACTTGGGCAGCGCAATGGCCCTCAAATAAGCCTTGCGCGGCCCGGAATGCCGTCCAACGTGTCATCGGCAAGCTTGAGCGGCCAACCCATTGCTTCAGCTTGTGGAAGCCACACCCTTCCCAGAGCTTCCAAAGATGTTTAAATAATTTTTAGATATCTTTAATCATCTTGATTAAGCACTATAGTGTCTATTTAAGCATGGTATGTAAATGACAAAAACAATGCTTAATTAAGAAATGTTATTTTCTGTATATGCATCCCAATTATATACATGCATGCGGACGATCGACTGCACGTGTTTTTCCTCCCAAGGATCACGTGCCGATCTCGAGTCGAGGAACTTTATTAGCTGCCAGGAATCGTCTGAGTTTTGTATTTCACAACAGCCGTCGGCATACCACGAGGAAAAGACCAGATAATCGGTAAGCAAAGTTTCCAAATAGCATAAGGAAAAGTCCGAAGACATATATATATATATATATATATATATTCCAGAATCAACAATGTATTGGGTATGAATTTATGAAATATTCATCCGGTCTCGCAAACGCACTACACTCGGACCCCTCCTTCTTTTGGCGGTGGCGGTAAAGCATTCGAGTTAAGCAAGATACCGAAGTAATTATCGGACTTACCGAGATGCATCCCCCCCTTCCGTCGTAAACAGCGGTGTAAGCAATACGAGAAACAAAACAAGATCTCAAACATACATCCTGGAAGGGAGGATAGCATCCTGATACACCACTGGAAAAGGGTGCCAGTGAACCACAAGCTCCCGCCAAGGGAACTCTTAAGCACCAGCACGTTTGGCTCGCAGAGCCGACACCGTGACTAGGGTGACGCACACCGAGGTCGTATAAGAAAGTATTCGTTGTTCCAACAGCCTCACACATGTGAAGCCCGGAGAAAATTTTATTCCCGGAACTCGATTCCGCAATCGAATCATAATCAATGCAATCGTATATCCATCGCTGTAAAAACGAATATAAACAGCATATGAAATTGGAGGCACAACGTCAGGATTTTCGCACATGCGATCTGGGATTCGAGCATTCGTGAAACACATCCTGCATGACACAAGCAACATCGCGTAAACCGCCCCATTGGGTGACCATTGTCACGAAGCGAGGACCATATCCCCGGATTGGGCGGGCGGGTGTCAAATTTGCCCATTCAAGCTCCCTCCCACCCACCCTTGATCAAGAATTGGACATCAGGCAAAGCAACTTGCAAAAGAATGGTTCAAAACAAGTGATTGAAAAACGGGATTGAGAAATCAAGTTTTTGGCCAATGCCAAAAAGCATCGTCCGGGTATAAAACATTAAGAACTTCGCTCCGCTCCGTTCTAAATCTGCTTATTCCTGGAACTCGATTCCGCAATCGAATCATAATCAATGCAATCGTATATCCATCGCTGTATTCCCCAATACACTTATGTGAAAAGACGAATATAAACAGCATATGACCAAGAAGCATAAAGTACTTTCCAAGCAAGAACTATTGCGGATAAAAAAGAGGCGCTGGTTCAAACCAGCGCACTACTTTGAGAATGGACTCCTTCCGACCAGACGCGGCGAGTGTGACCCGTGCACGTTCACGTATCCGCCAAGGTGCAGATTCTTCAATCAGGGCGGACGCATCTGACACAGACCATTGCGACTTGAAGCAGGTCAATGTGTGCTTTTGCAGTGTGACCGTGTGACATCTTTACTGGCAAAGACATCACGACATGTCCACGCAATGTTGCAAACAATGGCCATCAGCTGAGTGGTGCCTCGGAACTGGCAGCGGATCTGTTGGATCCAATGGGCGGAAAAGCTGAGAAGCCTTGCCGTCGAAAGGTGCTCGATGAGGCTGTGACTTGACAAAGGATGTATCATGCTGCTCTTGTTCTGGCACGACGACCGCTGGAGTCTTGTGCACTTTCGTGATGGCTGCTTTTCGGCCGCTACTTGCGTGGAAGATGGGAGAAGGCCTTGGCTGCTTTTGTGTGGGCGACGCACCACAGTTGCCTGAACACAGCTGGTGCAGCTGGATTGCCAATGCACTTGCAATTACGTCGTCTGGCAATGACGGACCCGCAAAGATTGGTCGAGTCGTCTCTAACCGGTAAAGCTTTCCTGGAAGCCGCTGAAACCGACGACATACGTCGTTGAGGTTCTTCTCCTCTCCATGCCATTTCTGAACCACTGCGTGGGCCCCTGGACCCGGTGTGCACGCTCCACTTGCTCTACTTGGACGATCTGTCACGAGACTTTTGAGCGATCCTTAGCTTGCGCTGCGCCGGGTTTCGACGCATAACAAGTTATTCCCACGGTCCACATCCTGCCCGGCCGTCGCGCTGTGGGCAGCGATTTCGTAGCCGTCGATCTCTACTGTTTTGCACACCGAGGATCTCGGTTCCGTCTTCGGAGTGCGTTCGCATCTGGCCGGTTTTTGATTGCCACGACTCTGGCCACCGCATCATGGAAAGCCGCTCACCACAGGAAGCATTGGACTTTTGGATTTCGGTGTGCACGATCGTGACGGAAAAAAACACAGGGGCTGCCCGTTGTCTGGCGAGACTAGAACGGCTGCCGGAGCTTGGTCTTGGCTCCACCTGCTGTTTTGGGCAACCCAGAGCGACGGCTCTTTGTTGCTCCAGATCGGTCGCTGAGGCTCTGTAGCTGGGCTGAACGGCAAACACCGGCGAAACCTGTGCGCCGCAGCCCTTGTAGAGCTTCGCTTTTTGTCTCGCCGCTTTGTAGTGTTTTTGCTTAGTTTGTTGTCTGCTTGTTTGTAGGGACTGAGTGCTACAGCCGTAGTCTGCCGTGCTGTCATCAGCTGTGCTATTGATGGACTGTTTATGCCGTTGTCGTGTACCTGCTTGAGGGTGCCGTCCGCACCTCTTCGAGTGTGACTTGATGGCAAACTCGTTGAATCCCTTGCGGACCCGCTTCCTGCAGAACTTCTTGAATGTACGAGATTCCGAGAATGGGCATGATCTTGGGCCGTGAGGAATACAGTGTGCAGAGTGCATATGCAGGTTCGTGCCGTTGTTGCAGGAGCTGACCCGGACATGATCAGGATGTTGCAAGCTTTCTTAATCACCTTGCAAACAACACGTTGCTTTAAGCGCAGATGATGGGCAGGATGATGGAAGTGATGAACCCTCATCCTTGGAAGGATTCCTTGCACGATGATGCAGGTTCTTGCATTACTGCGTTCGTCGAAGCGTATCCAGCTGCCTTGCGCAAGTGATTGCAATTTGCATCTAGGTAATTGCAAAAGTGGGGGTGCTGGTTCCTGAAATTTCTGGTTTGGATTGAAGCAGACGCATTTCTCAAATTTCTTCATGCACCATATTGGGACGATTTAGATGGCAAGAATCAAAAAATGTGCGGAAATTTGTGGAGATTCGCGCCTAATGTGGACTGTGATGGTGTTGGATCTGTGAGTGCAGAGAGAGCAGCGGCGTGGGCGTTGACGAAAGCCGTGGCGCCGAGTAGGCTCGAAGCTAGTCTGTTAGAGGCGGCCACAAAGCCAGATGTTTTGTTTTTTCGATTTTGGATTGCATTGAAAACCTATCTAAGGCTTTCATGGGGAAGCTGCAGTCTTTAACTGTCGATCGCCCGTGTTGGAGCCATCTAACTTGCGACGAGTTGCAAAAAAATCAATTGCTGCAGGGGTGGAGGTTTTTTGGTTTACGTTCGAGTTCTGGGAGTGCTGGTTCCAAACTGGTTGCTTTGCTTCCCAAGTCTTTCTGAAAGGGGTCCGGGAGGGGTGTGCGAACGTGTGCGGAAGTGTGCGGGCGTGTGCGGAAGTGTGCGGGTGTGTGCGGGAGTGTGCGGGGAAGTGTGCGGGTGTGTG